GCGGGCCTGCGGGTTTGGACGGCGGGGTACCTGGGGCTGGGCGGCGGCGGGGGTCGTCCGACGGGGGCGGGGGTGGATGGCCCCCACGGCGGGGGTCCGGGGGCCGGTGTCTCACACCGGCTTGGCCCCCGGGGATCACCGCTCGACAACACTGGCTTTAACCAACGTTTAACCAATCGTTCATGCTTTGATATATTAAGTGTTGGACCTTGTTGTTTGGTGACCAAATGGGTTCGCCAATCAATTGGTGTTCATAAGGGGGTAAAGCTTTGTCCAATTGAATAAAGTGCTTGAAGTGATGACAAATAACCCTGCTTACTATTTGGTGCGTCAAGGCCCACCAACGACTTTGAACCATTCCACGGGGCCAAAACTGTGACCCTTTTTTGTTTCGCACCTTTGGAATATTAGACTTGACATAATGGTGGTTTATTAATATAGTTTCATTATTAATTGTTTGGTGGCTTCAAATCTTCAAGGTTGTGAACTAGCTTCGATCGCCACAACAAATGAAGTCGATCAATGCATCACTAGGGGTTATGCTGACCTTATTTGAAGAGAAACATTCCTCGGGTGAAAATGGGTGGCTGGACATGTAAGCTATTTGTGATGAGCAAGACTGAAAAAAGTAACCAAAGCTAGATTTGTAATATATCAAAGAGTTTTTGTTGATAATCCTTCATATGGGTAGAGATAAAACTTTCTTCTGCTATACTCCACATAGTAAATATGTATTGATTATCTATGACCTAAACACGGTAACCAACTACTAGATAATCCCAATACACATTAAATTGTTTTTTGTTGGTTTTATCAACTTTTATGTTTAATGTCGAGTCGTAACGTGATGTTGTTTTACGGAAATTCATTGGAAAAAATGAACGATTGGGTAGCCAGACTGGCGGGTCAACGGACTGCATGTAAGGCCCTGATTTAACTAAGACATTATCAGACTTTATTTGACACGGCCGATTTGTATGACGCAGACGGAGCAAAGTGTTAACTGCAGCTAGCAAGGACAATTTGAGTGCTTGTTATCAACAACAAGGCATATTCGATTTTTGCTTGCATGTAGTAAATTATGTCAGGTTGCTAGTGAGACGTTACAACTTTTTCTTTCTTTCTCTTGAGGCAATGTTGTTTCTAGTTGGACATTGAATCCCCACAATTCCACTCTCTGCAACTGCACTGAATGAACTCGCTTTGTTTTTTTTCCCTACGCTGCTTCCTTTATGGTCGAGCAATGCATTCATTCCTCTCACTTTGCCATTTGTTGGCCCGCCAACTCGCTTTGGATTTTAGATCATTTTTCCCTTAGCAAGTAGTAGGCCGGATCTATTGAATTTTTTCTGTCATCGAATAAAAAACCATCGTATCCTTCAACCTACAATCCATGTTTTTCGGTTGTACTTCGGCTACCTTCTAGCAAGTAGTAGGCCGGATCTATTAGTTACTCCTTCGACCCAACAACTATACACGTTACAAAACTCGTTTCACGAATGTGAACTATCAGCTCCTCTGCTTCGCTGCATGAAGTATGAATTTTATGATAAATTAATATTATTCTTCGTATATATTTCTTAAGTTCAATGAAATGCATCTAAGTCAATAAATTATTTACTTAAATTAGGTATTCAAAACAAATTAAATCTTTGTTTGCTAGTCTGTTAAAACAGTTCCTTGCGCTATGCACTATCTGCATTACCAATTAGGCCGCGTGGACCACCTGGGTTACCTGGGTGCCCAGTCGAGCAAGGTCCAAGGAAGGTCCCTGTTCGAAGGGAGAAAAAAACAATTATGTTGTGCAGAGAAATAAGATGGACAACTTTGTTAAATAAAAAATTATTTTTTTATTAAATAAAAATTAATTCTTTGTTAAATAATTCTTTGTTGCTCAGGGTTAAGATTGAAATTCTTTGTTAAAAAAAAATAAATAATAAATTAATTTTTGGTTTGACCGAGCAAGTGGTCAAGACCGGTCCAATAATACATTCCGTTATGTAACAAAGAAATGACAATAAAAAAGTAGCCGACTATGTAAATATATATCCCAACACGTCTTCGTTGTTCGTCTTATCCTTCTCTTTGTTTTTATCACTTTGCAGTTACGCTAACCTATGGTCTTATACTTTGAAATTATTATACTCTCGTGTCACGCTCCGAAATGTGAAATTGGGGATGCCAACAGACAGAGATACATGACATAGCTAGACTAAACCTTGTCAGACCTCTCACACTTAAACCGCCCATCTCCTCGACGTCAAAAATCTTAGGAGACCGATAACACTATTTCATGAGGGCTACCAATAGCATGGTGTGGCGCACTAGCTGCATAAAAAAAATGAAAATTGCATCAAATTGTTGCTGCGATAAAAGGGATTTAAATTCTCTATGAAATAGTTGGCCTTCAGAAAACGTCCCACTGAAGGCATCCTCTACTCTAGCGTCTGACCAAAATTTGACCCCATTTTCACCTACTCTACAATGATATGCTAGTTGGAGAGAAATTTCACAAAGGAGTAATAAAAGGCATCATATCACTCATGTAAAAAAAAAAAAAAGCAAATCTGATTAAGAACTGACGCCCAATACCTTCACTGAATGCCTCATATAAATTATTGGTTTACATATCTTCGCACGGTATTGGGTATGCGGAAAAAATATTTATAAAGGGTAGTAGGTTTATATTTAAAAGTACTTAGTCGATAGAACAATCATAAAAAAATATAAATAAAGGACGTATCCACTTCAAAATACTACTCTTTGACTTGGAGAAAGCCTAAGAGAACAGACGCCGAGGCCGGTTTTCATCTACAATGAAATGACGTTCCTTAAAAAGAAAAAAGAAAAAAGAAAAAAAATGTTGCCACTTGTACGCACCCTTGTACGAGTACGGATTCATACTCTTATACTCAAACGCTACTCGTACGCCAGTGGCCCCGTACGACCTTTTTTTTTTTTTTAATCCGTTATTGCTTTCATTTGGTTTTCTCAAATTCTAATAAGAATCTATGGATGATGACAACCAAATGTTACTTGCTTTGTGTTGTTGCATCACATAGTTCTTTTTTTTCAGTTTTGTTTTATATTTATTTTTTTCTTGCGCATACGTTCACGTACAAGTTACTGTACATATCCCATGCAGATATTACCTATACGTTTTATACGGAAAAGCCTCATATGTGTACATTATGCAACGTAGAAAGAAAGAAATAGACAACAAAATTTCGTCCTAGTAACCCTCAAGCATAGGAACTTTGGGCTTAACTTTGAGAACTAGATCTTAACACTTTATGCCTATTGAACAACTGCAGTGATGGTTACTGATAGGATCTCTAGGGAACTCAGGCTCATCAAGTCTCTCAAACAAGGTTGTGCCCTTGCTCTTTTGCTATTTGTGATATAATTTGATGTATTTTAATTTTTACTCAATAGTTTCATAGTTAACCTTCACATCTACGACTTGATGTAGCATATCAGAAAGTGAAATGCACTGAGAGCCTAGGATCTAGCAATGACGAAAGTGGCAACAACCAGCAACATAGGTGCAACATCCACGAGATGTCAATGTGCATGGTGCAAAGGGTGAACCAACGAGAAATCAACAACACACATTCGTATCATTATCATCATGGGCTGGGAAGCAGCGAAGCGGGAGATTCAGTATCAAAGGACACGTGGACAACAACATGAAAAGGAGAAAACTTCGGAAGGGCAAGACATCAGAAAGATTGCCTTTCCGCTCATACACATGGGGAGAGATCCATAGACATGCGAGAGAGAAGGGGGAGGGACGAAGGTAACCAAGTCCAACCCAAGTCTGATCTCCGAATGTCGCACAC